GAAAGCTGCCTCCATTCTTTTCCCATTAGTCCAGGATAGATAAATGTTGTACACCAGTACAAGCAAAAAAAAAAAAAAAAAATAGAACAAAGACAAATGCAGGCACCAGTAATTGATAAGCTACATCATCCAGGTTATTGTTATCTTATATTTCTTTTTTCTTTTTTTTAATAGATTTTATTTATTTATTTGAGAGAGGGAGAGAGAGACAGCATGAGCAGGGATGAAGGGAGAGGGAGAAGCAGACTCCCTGCTGAGCAGGGAGCCCTTTGTGGGGCTCAATCCCAGGACTCTGGGATCATGACCTGGGCCGAAGGCAGGTGCTTAACGACTGAGCCACCCAGGTGCCCTGTTACCTTATATATCTTTAAATTGTGAAAATAAACTGGAGGGGATAGGGAGGGATAGTGTGGCAGGGTGATGGACATTGGGGAGGATTTGTGCTATGGCGAGTGCTGTGAATTGTGTAAGACTGATGATTCACAGACCTATACCCCTGAAACAAATAATACATTATATGCTAATTGAAAAAAGGTAAAAAAATAAATTGTGAAAGTAAAAACACAGAACTGAGAATTCTCATTATCAGCTCAAGAAAAAGGCTGTGAGTTTGAGTCCTCTTTTCTCATTAGTGAGAAATTTTGATTTATAGAATTGAGCCTAAATTCCAAAGTTAGGCATGCAAAGTCCTCGCTGTGCTGCTGTTCTTTCCTCATCCCTCCAGGCTCATCTGTGGGCCTTCACTTCTTCACTTACTACTTAGTGTTACTGAGCTCACCAGTTGCCCTGCCTGCGTACTCTTTCAGCTCTCTGTGCCTTTCACTTTTGCTACTTCCTCTACAGTCTACACTCCCAGGTTTGTTTTTTATATCTTAATCATCCTTCAAAATCTAGCCTAGATGTCATTTCCTCTATAGCCATTTCTAGAACTCCAGGTTGAAAATGTAACTCCTCCTGTGGACCAAGCGCACCCTGTGTTCATCTCTAACCTGTATCCTCCTTTGTAACAGTGGCTTTGTTCATTCCCTCACTCTACCATAAGCTTCTTGAGAGAAGGCATGGTACCGCTGGCACCCAGCCCAGACCCTCACACACCAATAGTCACTCAGTAAATATTTTAGTAAACCAGCTCTGGTAACCATATTGGTTTTTTGGATTTTTTTATTTCCAATACTCAGAATTGAATATACTTTGAAAAATGATAGAAAAATGATAGTTGAAAAATATACTAGATTTGTAAATGATGGGACTGGAATTCACATCTTGCCTGCCATTTATTCTTATGTACAGAATGGAGATAAATAATCACCATTGCACACATTGTTTTTGCAAATGTGCAAAATTCTGGCACAGTGTTTGGCAAATAGGCATATATTCATTTGATATTAGTTTCTTCACTAATTAATATATTACTGTTATTTCTTTTTATGGTCTTTAGTGATTTGAAATTATTTTTGTTAGCTGTTAAGTTTCAAATATATATACCTCCTTATTGCACTTAGATTGAAGCCTAGTATTAGTTATTTTCCTAAACTGAGTTTCAACACTGCTGTATAAAGTAGATGACACAATCAATTTTTCCTTTTCATCCTCACAAGATACTTCACTCTCTTTAACTATTTGTATTTATTCAGAACATATTTCTTTTATTTTATTGCCTCAGGCATGAGAGAACCTCTACTTTGTTCTTATTACCTAGAGAAATCTGTCTTCTTCCATCTCTTTGTGGTCTGTTTTCATCAGAAAGCATCTACTTTGAGAAATTCTCTATCTGCATTGTATTATTGAATTTTTATGCTTTCATATGGATATTAAAGCCTATTGCTTTAGTTCTTCAAGTAATAGGCTTAGGTTTATCAATAATATTAAATGTATCATAAAAGTAAGTTATATGGAATTGAACAGTATGGAAAGTTTCTCTAACTCATGGATTCCCAGCTCTTCCTTGTGTTTTATAAACAGAATAGATATAATGTAGATATGAAAGCAGCTGGGACAGATGTATCTGATGCTAACAAGGAAACACAAAAATTGTGAAAGACTGCATTTTCTTTATTATGGGATGAAATGCAAGCTACAAACTATAGGAGTTCCTAAAAGAAAATTCTTAATAAAGGATACTTACTGGTACAAGAAAATTCATGGTATGTGGAAGAAAAAAGCTTCACAGATATGAGGATAACCAAAGGATGAACCAACCTACAAAGCAATGTGATCAGTGTCTGTAGAGACAAAGTATCTGAGTTTCAACTTAACATCTTGAGGATAGGAATAATGAAATCAGTTTGATGTAAAGTAGCAGGCATGCATCAGTGACCCACAAGAAATTCCTGTTATCACAATTATTCTCTGGTTTTATGCCATCCTATGTGCCACAAGTGTTTCAGAATTGAATTAAAATTGCACCTGTCATACCTTGACCCTTTCACATTCAGCCTACTTTCTGAATTCAGTTCAAATTAAAACCTTAGTGCATTTTGGTGGAGAGATTCTTGACTAACAGGAAAAAAAAAGCAAAAAACAAAAAACAAAAACTATTTGGAACCTCAGAAGAAAGGCATTTGGTTCTGTTTTTTGTCCCCTTCATCACAATCATGAAGAGTACTACTCTACCATCTGGTCGGAAATAAAAGAGAACCTTAGGGTCTTGTTTTCTAAGTTGGGAATAAAGTCATTTGAGTTGGCAAATTTCAGTGAACAGTTATAAGTTTACAAGTACTGACCTCAGGCATTTTTGTATCCATGTTGCCTGCATTTGGACCACAGTTAACATATGTCATTGTTAGAAACTGAGCATTGTTTGACAGCTTGCACAAAGAGAAATTGACAGAACTCCGTGTTTCTGCTTCCAGATCTCTTGTTCAGTATAACCGTATGTTTAAAATATAAAATTATTAGGGCTGTTATGACATATACATTTGATTTCATGATTTTTTGACTTGTCGTCAGTGTTCATTTAACTTTTTAAAGTTACCAGTATTCACTTACATGTCGGATTGCTTTAAAACAAAAACAAAAACAAAAAACAACTCGGGGCGCCTGGGTGGCTCATTGGGTTAAAGCCTCTGCCTTCAGCTCAGGTCATGATCCCAGGGTCCTGGGATAGAGCCCCACATTGGGCTCTCTGCTCAGCAGGGAGCCTGCTTCCTCCTCTCTCTCTGCCTGCCTCTCTGCCTACTTGTGATCTCTGTCTGTCAAATAAATAAATGAAATCTTAAAAAAAAAAAACAGTTCTATGCTTTTGTGTCAACTATTGTGTATGCAAGGTTACATCCCTTGCTCTTAGAGACCTTAGAGTCTATTGGAGTAGAATATAATCTCTCAAGAAAATGATAAGACAAGCCACAGGCTGGGAGAAAAGATTTGCAAAAGACCTATCTGATAAAGGACTCTTACGTAGGTTCGTTAATTTTAAGAAATGTAACAAATTTATTAGCCTGTTACAGGAGGGTCAAGCTATGCGTGTGTGGGGTCAGCATGCATATGGGTTCTCTATTTTCCACTCACTTTTGCAGTGAACCTAAAACTGTTCTAAGAAAAAAATAAAGTCTGTTTTTTAAAATGATAAAGCCAATACATCATGTTAAATGTTATGAAACAAGGGTTATAAGAAGAACAGTAGCCCAGAGAAGAGGGGCTTTATTCAACCTAGGGAGATTTGGAGATTTCACAGAAGTGGTAACCTTTGGACTGGGATTTAAAAGACAAATAGAATTTTACCTGTAGAAAGGTACAAGGCAGGAATTATAGGTAAGGAAGGAGAAGGGGAGAGGTGAGCAAAGGGGTTAAAAGAGAGGGGGAAAAGGAGCAGCAGGAGAAAGTGTGACATACTCTGTGAATGCCTAATAATTCATATGGAAACCTGAGTTTATAGTAGTCACAGGTCATTGGACTTGTGGGACATGTTGCGAATTTTCATTCTGTCAGTCATGCTGATTAGAGTCTAGGGAGCAAGCCATTGGCTGGCAAGCCATTTAGAAGAACAGAAAAGATAACACTTACTGTGTGCTTACTCTTATCATTGTTAGGGGTTATCACATGGAATCCTCTTGTTACTGAACTCAAATACAGCTGCCCTTCACCTGAAAGTTCATCACTTAAGAGACAGGTTTTCATTGGAAAAAAATTTGAACTTTATTCAGAAAGCTTGGAACCTGAGGAGTAGGTGGACTCTTGTTCAGAAGCCAACTCCGAGGTTTCTGCCTGGCCCAAGGGTTTTTAAAGAAGCTTAGGGTGGTTAGTCAGTAGAGGGAATGCAGAGGCCTTCAGTGTTTCTTGATTCATGCAAACTCAATGATGCCAACTACAAAAGTTATCTCATGAGAGGCTGTTGTGCGAGGGTGTGGTTCTCGTTTCGGGATGTGCTGGAGTGCTCTGTTTTCTCTGAAAGGAAAGGCACGGTCTACAGATGCACAAAGGGAGGTCCGTAAAGTCATCTGTGTGACTAAAAAAGAAAATAAAATTTTTTTGCTAAAGAACTGCCAGACTAATCAGAAAGCTGAGATGGTTTCAAACAGACTTGCTGGCTTCTGTGACCTAGGAAAGTTCTAGTCCTTCACTCCTCAAGGCCAGTGGTCTGCAAATCTCAAAGAAAGCAAATAGTTCTGTTACAGATCATGGATCTTAGATCTGCAAGTTACAAGTGTGGTAACTTGAAGCAAATGAACCCGTAAGACCTGCTCGTGTACTGTTACACAAGCATTCTTTGGAGCTGGGGATTATTGTCTCAGTTTGCCATTGAAGAGTCTAAGGCAAAGAGAGGTTAAGTAACGGCCCGATTTCACACAGCTAATCAGTAGCAGAGCTGAGACTCAAATCCGTTCATTATGGTATCAGAGTTATATGACGGGTCACACTCTTAGAGTGGTGTGAGTGAAACATTCAAAGGGAGAAACTGAATGTAGATCAGATGTCATTGCTTATCTTTTGTTTTTCCAGGTCTCTTTGCAAGGAAATAGACCAACAGCTGTAATCAGCGGCAGTCCTGTCACACCTTCATCATGTTTCCCTTGACCAGAAATGCACTAAATCAGTTCAAGATTCGAAGCATTCAACAACTTAGGTCAAGACAGAGTCACAAAAATCATTCTCAAGATTTCCATGATAGATACGGTAACACTGTATTAGCCAGTGGGACTGCTTTCTGTGTTGTTGCATGGGTGTTCACGGCCACACAGATTGGAATAGAGTGGAACCTGTCTCCAGTGGGAAGAGTCACCCCAAAAGAATGGAATGATGAGTAACCATCAAAGTTACTGTAATACAAAATTGTTTCAAAATCAACTTGTCACTTAAGCACTCTGCTGCTCATTAAAATATAGCATAATTGAAGAAATAAAATACATTTGAAACCTTTAAAAAGTTGTTGAAAATACTCATTATAGTGCCTAGAAGCAAGACAGTAGCAGTTAGTATAGGTTATAGATTATGAATAATAAATATTTGAAAGTAGAATTAATAATGCATGTGTTTTTCTGGCTTAATGATTTACATTAGGTATCCCTTAGTGGGAATACACACATATGTACCTTACAAATTAGTTTAATTGTTTGGCAGATTCTCTTGAATCTTTCCTTAAAATATATTCATGATAAAAAAAATTCATGATCTATTTTTCACATCCTTTTATCTTTCCCACCATGATCTGAATCACCATACTCTCACTGGGGTTACTATAAAAACTTTCTCACCAGTCTCCTTTCTTCGTCACATAATGTCCCCCCAAACCTGCATCCTCTACCCCACCATACACAACTTTTTTCTTTTTAACACAGAAGCCAGAATGCTCATTTTATTTTTTTATTTTATTTTTTAAAATTTTGTTTATTTATTTATTTGACAGAGCCAGAGAGCACAAACTGGGAGAATGGCAAAGGGAGAGGGAGAAGCTGGCTCCCCGCTGAGCGAGAGCCTGATGCAGGGCTCCATCCCAGTACCCTGGGATCATGATCTGAGCTGAAGGCAAATACTTAACCAGCTGAGCTACCTAGGCACCCCCAGAATGGTAATTTTAAAACATTCATGATATCACTCCTCTTTTCAAAACCCAGTGACTGCATTCCACTCAGAGCTAAAGCCAAAGTCCTTAGAAAGGTACACAGGCCCCTAGATGCTGCACTGGTCAGTTTTACTCTTGCATCAGGACACTTCCATTTGCTCTTTTCTCTGCTTTCAGTGTATTTCATTCAGATCTTGTATGACTCATTTCATCATAGTTTTCAAGGTTTCATTCTTATGTCATATTTTCAGGGGAGGCCTCTGACTACCTTTTTTAAAAATTGCAGCCCCTCCTTAGTTCGGGCTTTGTCTGTTCTATTTTCTTGCTTTATTTTTTCCATAGAAATTATCATCATCTGACATAAGATATATTTTGTTTATTGTCTGTGTGCAAAGCTCCATAAAAGCATAGTGTAGAAGCAGGATTTTTCATGACTTTATCCCTATAACAGGGCTTGATAGATTAGACCTTCAGTAATTATTGGTTGAATTAATATTAGTCTACCAATAATGAATTTGTTTACCACTGTGGCTTTGCAATGATTATTGGAGAGTATATTGGTTATCTATTGCTATTTTATAAATTACCCTAAAACTCAGTGACTTACAACAGTTATCATTTATTATCTCACAGTTTCTGTGGGTCAGGAATCTCAGTGCATCTTAGCTGGATATCTCTGGCTCAGGATCTCTCTCTTAAAATCTGAGTGTCAGAACAATAATCATTTCAAGTATAACTAGGATAGGATCTATATCCAAACACATATGGCTGTTACTGGCCTTAGGACCTCACTGAATATTGCCTGGAGACATCAGTTCCTTTTGTGTAGTTTTCTCTCTAGAGCAGCTCACAATGTAACAGAATGAAAGATACAGAAGCCAAGGTCTTTTGTAACCTAATCTAGCAAGTGACATTCCATCACCTCTACAATATTTTGTTCACTAGAAGTGAGACACTAAATCAAGGCTATAAAAAAGGGGAAGGGATTATGCAGGGGCATGATTACCTCAAGGTAGTCATTAGGGAATACCTATCACAGTTGACACTGGAGACCACGTCCTCCTGGATGACTAACCTTAAAATAAATGTATCTCAATGTCAAATATATATTAATACTGTTATTCTGTAGACAAAGGACATTTTGTGTTCCTTCCCAGTTTTACTATGTGAGTTCCTTTAGGGTCCTTCCTAGGTATAGAATGGGTAGTTCTTAGGGAATGCTCATTTTCAGCTTTATCTGTGTTGCTGGATTATTTCCCAGACTGGTTAAATAGTTTACAGTCTCACCAGTAGTGTCTACAATTTCCTTTTTTCCACATCCAAACTCACTCTTAAGAGTTTTCATACATTTTAATATTTGCTGCTTTGGTATGGGTATGAAATAGTAGCTCATGTTTTAATCTATATTTCTTAAACCTAATTACTGATGAGGTCCAACATCCTGTGTTAGCCTGTGTGTGTGTGTGTGTGTGTGTGTGTGTGTGTGTGTGTGTGTGTTTCTGTTTCTTTTTCTCTAGTTATTTGTCTTGCTCATCTTTTAAGTTTTTAAATAAATTCTCCTTACTATTTTATCAGTCAGGGTTTAATCAGAGAGGTAAAGCCATATCATACAAAATACTGATTAATTATGGAAATTAGAACTTATGCAATGGTGAGAGCCAGTGGAGGGGTTTTTACAAGGCTGTTGCCTTGCCGTCTGATACTGAGTAAGTTCTCAGTAGAGGAAAAAAGCTGGATCTGAAGTAGGAGAGAGAACGAAAACCAACTGGAATTGGGAAGAATGCACTGGGATCATGGCTATAAACTAGAACCTGTGTCTCTTTGTCACTGTCTGTAACTAAGATGATGTGGATGACTTACAGGAGAAGTTGGTGCCGTTCCCTGTGAAACTTCTCATTCACCTGACCCAGTACTCAAAAAACCTAAAGAACTGGTAGAAGTTTAAAGAGCTATAGGTCCAGGTGTTGTTCCTTATCAATAAAGCAAGCCATAAGGTCAAAAACGGCATACGTAAGCTGCACAGTGCCCAGTGGTTTATGCTAGCCTTCCAAGTACAAAATGGTTGCCATTTTATGTCCACCATCCCTATATGCAAATCTATCTGGTGGTTGACCCTAAGCTGAAACCACAGAGGGAAGGAATTCTGGAAAAGGTAGTTGAATCCTAGCTAAATTGACACTTAGAAAGCCACAGTATTCCACCACTTGCCAATTTAACATAAGTGCACATCTTCCTTTTTTGTACTTCAAATAAAGACAATAACAAAAATATGCTTTTACCTAACATAACTTTCCTTCACGAGACTAATACACTAGTCCTGTCCCTAAAAAAGTACATGAAATCCCTTTACAAACCATGGCAGGGTGTCACTGTCAACTTCCAGTTTACTAGAGTCATTTATGTGATCCCCAGTAAAAGCCTAAGACCTCTAGACCAGCAAAACCCAAAGTTATAGAAATGAATAATTCTCTAGTGGATTACTAGAGGTAATTGTGATAGGACCCACCCACTGTCATCTCTACTTGTTGATTCCCAGACCTGAAATTCCCAGCTCTGGAAAATAGCACTATGTGTTTGTTGGACATCTAGAGCATGGAAGACATTACCTCAGCCTGGCAAGGTAGTGTTATCCAGCTGCTGTCATAACTAACACTTTTAAAAGGTTATTGCACCATTCTGTCAGTGATGGGAAACATGGTAAGATAAGTGACTTCCATAAGCATGAATCCATTAAAGTATTTCATTTGCTATAAAGTAAGTTTCTTGATCAGGATCAGTGCTTTGTTGTGTACCAAGATACTAAATAAGGCATTTACCAAGTTCATGAATGATGGTATTCAGAGGAAAGTTGCAGGGACAGAAGGTAGATCTACATCATTAGTTAAGTGTCTGTTCAAATAAGAGCAAACACTGCCCTTTCCATGGTTGAAGTGGTCCAAGGGGAATGGTCCTAAATATAGGTGCATTGGTGGCCTGTCCATTGGTAGATTGGGTGCACTCAGCAATATCTATAGCCAGATTAGTCTTGACGGGTGCAAGTCCATTTTGTGAGCCCATACATAATCATCACTGCTGTTGTGATCACTTTGAGGGATTGAGAAGGCATAGGGTGGCTGAGAAAGAGAGTGATAGCAATAAGAATGGGTCATCTTGTCTACCTGATTATTAAGATAATATTCTGCTGACTATTCTCTTATGTGTATCTGTATGGGACCTGACTGTCTTCCCACTCTGCCACATAATCTGTTCCCAGACTTGGTGTCACCAATTTTCCAGTAGTGTTCCTTGTAATTCCTTGAAGAGCTTGTCATGCCATTAGCTGGTCCCCATGACTTGGTATACAATTGTATCTCTGGTAATTTTTCCTTCCAAGTAACATGAGCAACTGTGTATTCTACTTAAAATATTGCCCACCATGAAGATCTCCCATCTTCTTCAGTGTCAACTTAGAATTAAACTGTATTGCTGAAGCCCTCCACTTTCAGTTATGGCCAACCTATTTTGCAGAACCAGATTTGAATTTTTTCTTCTTTGGTCCACTGATAATAAGAAACTCCCCATAGGGCCGTACACACCTGCATACCCAACTATGTTTAAAGTGAACGAATCTTTCCCAAACACACATCTTGTAAACAGTGGAACCAGGAGTCAATCTTTAGAACCTGTTCTTTTGCTTCAAAGTTACACTGTTAGTCTTTTTTCAGGTATACAAGTTGGAAGTTCTGGAAGGATTCAGGCTGGAACTAGAAGAAGATAGGGAACAAATCACAGAATGTTGTGAAAACCCTCACAGTGAAAAATATTATCAAAAGAGTAGATCAATAAGGAAGTAGAGATAGGGAATGCATGTGGCATGTAATGAGTATTTTAAAATGGCTGTTACTTTCCTCTTTACCTTTACCCTGAATATTTTCTGATTTGATATGGGGATGAAAGCCTCTATATGTGTATATATAGTAAGCCTCTGTGTGTGTGTGTGTGTGTGTGTGTGTGTGTGTGTGTAGAGAGAGAATGCATATGTGTATATATCTATATGTATAGATACAGACATACACATATATCTGTATATACACACACATACATATAAATGCATATTTTTAAGACTACAGTTATTTTAAGGATGTATATATGTATGTATATATACTTCAGATTATTGTGATAATAAAATGTGTGGCCACTGGTTTCTTATAATAAAATTTAGATATTGCTCTTTTAGTTTTTCTAACCTTTCTCACTGGATCTTGT